CTTTCTCCCGCAGAGCAGCTGGTAGTTTCGAACTGCTGACCTTATGGTTTGCAGCCCGATTCGTAACCACTACGCTACCAGAGCTCCATATATATATGTTGTTGTTAAATGTCATATATATAAATGCTTCACTGGGTTTGTTTCTCTAGAGAACTCACACTAAGACAGATGCATATTGGTTAAGGAATTAAACACTACAAGTGCACTCTCCCTCCATCCTCCCATCTTTCCCTCCCTAGATGGAAGCGGTCCTGAAGCCCAGCCGTGCCATTCTCTCCTGCTGTTAGCCTTGGAGTACATCTCCATTTCCCCGCAGCAATACACACAGCTCTTAAGTGAAATTGTGCTTGTTTTTAAGATTCTTATTCACGGTGATACACAAATGCATAGGGTCTGACTGTGGCATGGTGTTCAGTGAGGAGGGGACCCCTTTTCTACCCTTCCGCTGCAGGGCATCTCCAGATCCCCTCTACCCACTCAGCACAGCCTGGACCTGACTGCCCACTCTTCCGGGGCCCGAGGTAGGCGACAAGACCTACACTGAGACATGGGGGTGGCATGTGCAGTGTTCTCTAAAGAGGGGACCAGGCTGTCATTCCACAGCCCCGACAGAGACCTCAGTGACTCACAGCCCATCAATACACAGCATTAGCAGATGTCTGAATTTGATCTTCTGAGGGGAAGGAATGAGAGGTGTTTCATGAGCCTTTCATGAATTCCTCATTCATTCAACAGTTTTATTATTTGCTCAGTTGTTGATGAGTAGCAGGTACTGTGACTGTGCTGGGGACACTTTAGGGAACACAGGAAGCAGAATTCCGGTGTGTGTGTGTGTGTGTGTGTGTGTATGAAATTGGGTCAGACCACACACACCACCATGTAAATTCTATAATGCATTCACAAGGGACTTGTCAAATACAGTAAATGGAACCATCTGTGATGCCCACTGGCACTCATGCCACCTTTCGAGTCTCCACATTCTGGCGAGCCAAGCACACTGGGAAGGTGCCCTATGAAGCAGGACTGAAAGGGACAGAGTCCGCAGCAGGACTGGCGCGGGGGCTAGGGGCATGGTCTCCGGGCGCTGGAGGCTGACAGGGATTGCCCCTCAGCCCTGTGAATGCTGTTGGGAAGGTGCTGTTGTTGTAATAATCTTTCTTTTAAAGTTGGTAGGTCTTGTATCTCTGGCTATTCTTAGGAATTTTACTTTGTCTTTGATGTACTGTTAGGAGATGTTGCGCTTCTTGAATCTGAAGGTTCATCTCTTTCATCAAATCTAGACAATGTGCAGCCTTGTCTCCACTGAAACTGTCAACTGTGTCTTTCCACCCTCTCGATTCTATTCCCTGGACTCGGGTTAGGAGGACTCCGACCCTTCCCTGGACTCGGGTTAGGAGGACTTTGATCCTTCCATGCTAGGCTCCAGGCCTTGTAACCACTCCCATTTCTCAGCTCTTTATTACGCTGGATTCTCGGATACATCTTTTAACTCATTATCTCCTGTTGTGTCTAGGGGTCTAATCCTGCTTTAAAAATAAAAAAAGTTTTTATTGTGAGTTGAGTGATAATATGCTTGGGAGAAGATTGGTTCTACACTCATGTTTTATTTTATTGCAATGATTACAATCCCCTCCATGCATCATCGTTCAACAGTATTTACTTCTATACTCTTTGTTGTTGTTTTTTTTAGATGTACACAAAAACACTCAGGAATATAAACTCATTTAAACAACCAAAGGGCACATTCTGCAAGCCTGCCTCCTGGATGCCAGAACTCAGTCTTTCTCTTTCCATGAGTCTAGAATCCGCAGCTGCTCTATCTCTCCATGCCATCACCTCTGCCATGGGTCCATCTTGGTGTCGCTGCTTCTCTGGTTAGGGTCCCATATTCCATTCATGCTCTTTTCTCTTGATGGTCCAAGCGTCCTGTTTTTGGACTGTAAGATAACCCTGCTTTGTAAGTGTTGGTTGACTGTCACGCAAAGTGAACCATTCCCATGTGTGTTTTCAGTTTTTCGCTGGCATCATTTCTTTGGTGTGGGTAAGGGTGAAGGGTTGTTCTTATGTGCACTCAAGTTGATTCTGACTCATAACAACATATAAGAGCGTGGAGTTTGCCTCACAGGGTCCCCTAGACTGTTATCCTTTTAGGAGGAGATTGCCAAGTCGTTTCTCCCAGACGCTGGTAGGTTAGAACCTCCAACTTTAGCAGGTGAGTGCATCACTTTAGTGATACTGGGGCTCCTTTGTGCTCATCCCGACATGCTTTTGCATTTGCGCCTTGCATGGTTGAGGAGCGTCTCTGCATATATTCCTGAGTTTGCATCTGTTAAGGGATGACTTGTAGCCCTGACTTCCAGGCAGAGGGCGTTCCTGAACCAATAGGTTTTGCAGAGTTCAATGAGTAAACCCAAGGGACCTGCAGAAGCCCGGGTTCACAGACAGCAGAACCCAGTACGAGGGCAAAACGGACTTGTCTTTTGCTTCGTTAAGGATTTCTTTTTCTGGCCCACCTCTAAAGGAGGGGTTGGCCTGCGGGGCATGGGTCCTGCATTACGACGGCCACCCGACCATGGAGAGCAGCCCACCAAGCCACGTCCCTCACTCACAGCGTCCGCCGGGCCCTTCCGGTTGCGTTACAGGAAGCGGAAGTTCCCCGCACCGCCCGCTTCCGGCCGGGAGCGGGGAGCGGCGACCTGTGGGCGGTGAGGCGCGGGGACGGCGGCTGTCGGTGGTCGCCTGTGGCCCCGGCCTGGGCGTGCGGAGCGGGAGAGGTCACGGCGGAACGGGCGTCCGGGGCGGGGGCGAAGCAGCTGACGGCGAAGACGCTCGGGTAAGACGGCGGAGATGCACCGAGAAGCCGAGGGCTGGAGGCAGTGTGCGGGCCCCGGGGTGGTGACAGTGTGCGGGGCCGTGTCCTCTCAGGGTCCCCGGGGTGGTGGCAGTGTGCGGGGACCCTGCATCTGTGTCCTGGGGGCTGGCTGCTACACTGGCGCGGCCCAGGCTGCTGTCCAGGCTTGGGGACGACCAGGACTTAGAGAGGGCCCTGGGCCACCAGGAGTGACCCAGGTTCCCCATTGCGCCCCTGCCGTGTGACTAAAGGCGGCTTTCTGGCCGATTACCGCATTTGTCTGTTTGCTTTGCGTGGAGCATTTTGCCTTTCTAACCCAGCTCGCGCCCTCTCCTAGTATGCCAGAGACCGTGTCGCCTCCTTTGTGACCATGGAGGAGACAAATCGGGAAGCTGTTGCGACCGCGGTCCAGAGGGTAGCTGGGATGCTGCAGCGCCCTGACCAGCTGGACAAAGTGGAGCAGTATCGCAGGAGAGAGGCTCGGAAGAAAGCCTCAGTGGAGGCCAGACTGAAGGTATGCGAGCCCACAGTAGGCAGAGGCTGAAATCGCCACTTTCCATTCCTTTACTCAGCGATTCAGTGTTGTGTGCCTACTGTCGTCGTCGTTGTCATAACTGTTGAGCTGGACTTTGTGATGATACGGAAAAGGGAAGCTGCAGTGGACTTGTCTTAACAGGTTATTTCCACCACAATATCAGTGGTCAGTAGCTGTACAAAGACCATCTGGGGCATATGGAAAATAGCCCGGTTGGTAGCATGCCTAGCTCCTCCAGGAGCCAGAGGGACGGGCGACGGCCATCCTCGCTCCCTGGACGCTGTCTGTGGAACTGCAGTCCAGCAAGCGCAGGGTGCGGTCCTTTAGCAGGTGCCCCACGCCCGGGCGCCTGGCCTTGGGCCAGGGAGGAGGAGGAGAGAGCAGGAACACTTGGTAAGAAGGTGTGAAAGGGAGGCTGAAGAAAGGCCTTTAAACAAAATCTTCTGAGGGTTAAATCATTTTACTTTTAGTTGTTGTTGTGAAGTGCTGTTGAGTCGGGTCTGACTCAAAGTAACCCTGTATACGGCTTCTGAGGACTGACTGGTGAGCTTGAATCACCAGCCTTGCAGTTCAGATCGACTGCAGTCCAGTGCCTCACCCCGCAGCTCCACAAACAGCGATTGATAGCAGAGCTTGGATTTGATCTCGGCAGTCTAGTCGAGAATTTATGTTATTTAAATATCAATTATTATACTGGCTAGCTGTAAGATGAGAAGTCCAGGGTAGAAACTAGTTTGGTCTCACAAATTGCAGGGCCACTGAAAAGTGACAGAATCCAGTTTTGGCGAGGTCTAAGGATGACCAAGTTCATTTATTGTTGTGGTTTTATGCTTCCTTATTTTCTGGGCTCTGCAAAGAACTGTGTGTGCAATTCTCTTTCTCTTCATTTTGTGGTACTTTTCTGCCTTCTAGAACATGATAATCAAAGCTCTTGTTTCCCATTTTCCAGGTATTTGGATCCATAGTGGCCCTTCTAGGCATCTCCCTCATTCTTCCAGATTCCTGCACTTGAATATCTCTCTCCTCAAATTTTTCTCTTTGGCTGTCTAGTCATGGTAACTTTAACAAGCTGCGTTCTTTAGTTCCTGCTCTGATTAGCTAAAAGAGAGGTATGATTTTGTCTTTTGTGTGAGTCATTTTAAAATTTGGATCGGCTTGCAATTTAGCATGAAAAACTAAGGTTTTACTAACATCTGCAAGTTCAGTATAGGTAAAAATGTAAAACCATGTTCTGCTCCAGCTGACACCGGACATGGAGTCCCTCACATGCCCCCATCTATCCAGTGCCTCCTGACAGACAGTCGGAGACTCTCCCTTGGAAAGCTGATTAGAAAGTTCCGACGGCTTTTTCTGTTGGGAAACTAGGGCGGCCACAGGAGTATGCATTACATGTGGAGCCATTCTGGGGTCAGTACTTGGGAGACATCGGGGGGCTCCAGAGGCGTGCCTGGGTGTGTCTGGCACGGGCAGGTGGAGGGGTTCCAACAGTGCTCTAGACACAGTCATGCCATCTTGAGACAGCATTGAAAACAAGGAAACGAGAAAACTAAGTTGACTGACATCCTTTTTTGTTTCTATTCTGTACTTTTTCTGCATCTGACCTTTTGCTGCTGCTCGTGCGGCCCTTCTGAGTTCAAGTTCTGCGGTACTTTTTCTGCATCTGACCTTTCGCTGCTGCTCGTGCGGCCCTTCTGAGGTCAAGTTCTGCGGGTGTGTGAGCCGGGCCTTCACCAGGGTGTCTCCCCAGGCCGCGATCCAGTCCCAGCTGGATGGAGTGCGCACGGGCCTGAGCCAGCTGCACAGCGCGCTCAGCGATGTGAAGGACATCCAGCAGTCCCTGGCGGACGTCAGCCAAGACTGGAGGCAGAGCATCAACACCATCGAGAGCCTCCGGGACGTGAAGGACGCCGTGGTGCAGCACAGCCAGCTGGCCGCCGCCGTAGAGAACCTCAAGAACATCTTCTCAGGTACCCCAAGCGCTCCCTGTCTGCTGTCCACCACCCCTTGGTGACACGGTGTGCAGCCTGGGCTTCTGTAGCCCTGTCTCCGAGGGGCTGGGTTATTTGGCACTGCCAGCGGTTGCCTCAGTTGGGCTTTGGTGGAAATGGTCAGTTGAGCAGTGAGGTCAGGGAGATGCCGCAGCTCCGTGGTCATGGTGTGTGTTTCTCTGCTGTAGTCTTACTGCTCTATGACTGTGCAGGTGACCAAGGAAGCAGGCCCGGGGTCCCTGACCCACCTGCACGCTCTGGTCGGAGCAGCACACCTGTATGGCCATCTCCCACATCAGGGTCCTGTCCCTGGACAAGGCCAGCTGTCCCCTGATTTCTCTTCAGGCTTTCATTAGCATCACCTGTAGGTTCCCCACACACCATACATGTGAGCGAGCCTAGGGGGGCAGCCTGCGTCTATCTTCTCCGTCCGCTTTCCGTCGCCCTGAGACGCATCTGTGCCTTGGACTCCAGTCTCCATCACCTCTCCCACGCTGCTGGTGCCACTACCTCACTCCCAAGTGTTTGTGGCAGTGGAGAGGTCTTAATCTTCCTGCCTACCCTGTGGACCTTAAGCCTGGTGGCTTTGCACCTTCCTGTGGGACCCGCGGGGGGTGGGGACACTCACCCTGCGTGCTGACACTGCCCCATAGTGGGCTGGACCTTGCCTCGCTTCTCCTGTAGGCCTCCAGATGTTACAGGGGTCCCAGCTGTGGGCTCCTGAAAGGACTGCGCTGGGCTGGTGGCTTCCTGGGGCCTCTTTCCTCTGGGACACCTGGGGAGCTGCCAGCTCATTCTTGTCTTGTCTTGTCCTTCCTGATGGCCCACACCTCCCTTTCAGCCTTGGGCTGGGCTCCCCCTGGATATCAGCCATGGCCTGTAGTTTAGTAACCTGTGCATCCTTGTCCTCCCAAGTGCCGGAGATCGTCAGGGAAACAGAGGACCTGACCGAGCAGGGGGAGTTGCTGCAGGCGCACCGGAAGCTGATGGACCTGGAGTGCTCGAGGGATGGCCTGATGTACGAGCAATACCGCATGGACAGCCGGAACACGCACGACATGACGCTTATCCAGGGCTACTTTGGCAGCATGCAGCGGCTCTCTGATGAGCTGGCCAAGCAGCTGTGGATGGTGCTAGAGCGGTCCCTGGTCACTGTCCGCCGCGACCCCACCCTGCTAGTTTCCGTGGTCCGCATCATAGAACGGGAGGAGAAGATTGACAAGCGCATGCTCGACCGCAGCAAGCAGACTGGCTTCATCCCGCCCGGGAGGCCCAAAAAGTGGAAGGCGAAGATGTTTGACATTCTGGATAGAACTGTGACCACACGGATCGAGGGCACGCAGGCTGACACCCGAGAGTCGGACAAGATGTGGCTGGTCCGTCACCTGGAGATCATCCGCAAGTACGTCCTGGATGACCTCATCGTGGCAAAAACACTCATGGTACAGTGTTTCCCTCCTCATTACGACATCTTCCAGAGCCTGCTGAGCCTCTACCACCAGGCGCTGAGCACACGCATGCAGGACCTGGCTGCTGAGTACCTGGAGGCCAACGAGATTGTGAGCCTCCTGACGTGGGTCCTCAACACCTACACCAGGTGGGTGGCTGTGGGCTGCAGTCTCAGCGAAGTGTCTGCCTCAGGGTGGATCCTGTTCATGGCACTTTACTCCGGGCAGAGCCGGGTGGAGGGGCCGTTTTCAGGCCTTCATCATCTTCCTGTGGCACACCTGTGGGACCAGCCCTGGTCTCAGCAGGCTCTGAGTGGGGCCGAGCTCTCTTAGGATCTGACCTCATGCCCCGTACTTATGTATGTGTTCTGTCTGTCTGTGGGACCCGCCCTGGTCTCAGCAAGGTCTGAGTGTACGTGTGTATGCGGTCTGCTGTTTGTAGGACCAGCCCTGGCTTTAGCAGGGTCTGAGTGTGGCCCGTATATGTGTTCTGTCTGTCTGTGGGACCTGCCCTGGTCACTGTGGATTCTGAGCGTGGCTGAGCTCTCCTGGGATTAGACCCAACATCCAGTGCGTGTGTTGTGTTGTGTGCATGTGTGGGACCCGTCCGAGTGTGGCCAAGCTCTCTCCAAGTGGACGCTTGGCACCATGGGAGCAGTGCGGTGTCTGGCCTGATCTCTGGGAATAGTAGCCTGTGTGCATAGGACCCTGCAGGCAGGCGAGTCCAGGCCCCCTTTGCAGGTGCTGACTCTGAGGACCTCCCGGACCCCAGGGTTGGTGAGAGGTCACCAGCTGTGCTCTGTTCAGCCTGCAGCACCATGTCACCGGGACCCAAGTTCCATAAGGACCTGGGTCCTTTTGTGTGTTAGCGTGAGGCTTTGTTGGTTACATGGAAAGACATTCTGGGACGCCTTTGTGGTGGTGGTGATGTGCCACGGAGTCGGTTCTGACTCATAGCGACTCTGTACAGGATTTCCGAGGCTGTAAATCCTTACAGGAGCAGAAAGCCTCATCTTTCTCCCATGGAACAGCTGGTAGTTTTGAACTGCTGACTTTGAAGTTAGCAGCCTGATTGACACGATTCTGTGGATTGAAGACGACACCATTGGGTGGTGTGCTGGAGGTGTTGTCATCTAGTAGGGCGCGTGGAGGAATTGGTGAACATTCTGGTAAGCAGGGTTGTTGTGTATGTTCTCTGCTCTCTGGGTTTTGTGTTGTTGTAGGAGAAACAGTCGCACACCACGGTGAGTTGGCTGGCTAACAGCTTTCACCCCCTTGGTTAGGGAGCATGGGCTGTGAACATAAGGTCAGTGGTTCAAGCTCACCAGTTGCTCTGTGAGAGAAAGATGTAGCTTTTGGTTCTGGCAGAGATTTCCAGCATCGTTAAGTCTATGCAGGGTCACTGTGAGTTCGAATTGACTCGATGACACTTGACAAAAGCTTCGGGTGCCTTGCGTTGGTGATGGTCTCTCTCAGTGCCTTGTGAGCTGCCCCTCTGAGGTTTTGTGACTTTTCTGTCCTGTAGGTGAGGACCAGGCAGTGGGAGGTGGAGGTCACACAGTCCTGCCAGGCCAGTGCTTCCACCCCTCTGGGCAAGGGCCAGGGATGAGAGCGGTCCCAGCTGTGGACATCGGTGACAAGTGCAGAGTTTGTGTCTCGATTTTGTGTATCACTCGAGCACAGGAAGCTTTAGGCTATTGAAGGACAATCTCTAAGCTTTGTCGCCTTGTGCACGCTCCTGTGCTGGTTCTTTGTAACGTGCTGACACCATCACGTCGGTTGAGGCTGTGGAACGAGCAGGATCTAGGTTAGTGAAGCAGTCAGCTGACACTGTGTATCTGGGGAAGGCTTTTTGCTACCGTCATGGAGGGCTGCTCTCCTGACAGCAGAGGTCGGGAGAGGGGGACACAGCCTCAGGTATGCATAGTCTCCCTGTATGTGACCTTAGACCCAGAAGTCAGTTAGCATGTGTGCACATGTCGATTCCTGCTCATGTGTTCTCCTAAAACTCAGTCTGCATTCCTTCCTCCTTTAACTACAGGCCTCTTGTTCAGTTACATTGTGGGTGTGCTTGTTCAGTCCCCCACAGCATAGACAAGTGCTTGTCCCAGTCCCTGCGGCCCGGATGTATCTCAGCTCAGTGATACTACGGAACATCCTTGCTGAGCTCGCCCTCCTCTCCCCGGGCTGGTGGTCAGAATGTATTATCCAGGGTCAGTGGACTTTTGTGTAGTTGTAGCAACTGCCCACCTGACTTCTGGTTTCCACACAGCACAGAGATGATGGGAAACCTGGAGCTGGCTCCGGAAGTGGACACGGAAGCCCTGGGGCCTCTGCTGTCCTCACATGTGGTCTCAGAGCTGCTTGGCACATACATGTCCACCCTCACTGTGAGTATAGCCTCGGACTCCGCTCTGGGCTCAGGTGTCCTGACACTAGGGGCAGAGGAGATTGTTCCCAGGACACCTGACTGGGTAGGTGAGAAAGTGTCCAGTGCTGGCCTGGTCTGAGTCTGGGGATGTCAGGATCATAGATGGAAGCACCGCCCTCCAGGATGGAGGAAGCCCCTCAGACTGAATGCGCACTTATGGATAGGAGGAGACCCCTGTAACCCTGGGCCAGGGGAGTGGGCCTCTTTTCCCCAGCAGGTCGTAAGGCCTGGATGGCCTTGGGTGGAGTCTGACCAGGCCTCACCTCTGATTAGGGACCACCGAGGACTGAGTGACCCCATGGCACCAGGCACCCTGCTCCTTAGGGAGGCTGAATTTGGGCCCTGAGATGGCTGGACAGGAGCGCTGAACTGTCCCTGGGAGAGGGAGGGGCTGCTGCCGTGCTGCTGGGGACACAGGCTCCTCGTCTGCCCCTCAGCGGGCAAGTGATCTGGCAGCTCCCATAGTCCCGTCTTGTTCCCATGATTCCCCAGGTGTGGGCTCTCAGTGAGTGGCTCTGCTCGGCTTCTACAGACGGTAGGAGGGGCTGTCTGTTTGGGGTAACCCCTGTAGGGTCGAGCTCCCCCTGTGCAGCCATGCATTGTTGGGGAAACTGGCTTTGCTTCAAAAGACCTTCTTCTTTTTCCTCCCGCCTCCCTCCCGACACTTCTCTCACTATCCCTAGTCAAACATCATTGCCTGGTTGCGGAAAGCACTGGAGACAGACAGGAAGGACTGGGTCAAGGAGACCGAGCCCGAGGCTGACCAGGACGGCTACTACCAGACCACGCTCCCCGCCATTGTCTTCCAGGTGGGGCAACAGGGTCACCCAGCTCAGGGCCCACACTGAAAACACAAGACATGCTGGGGTTTGTGGGGTTCACACAGCAGCATGTATGCCTTCAGCTTTGCTCAAGGTGCCCACTGTGGTCTACACGCTTCCTCTCTGTCACTGAGATCCAGGAGCTGAGTCACAGCTCCCCTCCGTCCCCTGGCGAGCTCTGAGCTGGAGCCTGAGTATCTGGCAGCACACTGTGCCTTGGACTTGGCTTGCTGTGTGGTCCACAGTGTTGGAAATGACTGGGTCGAGCTGGTGGGCCTTGGGGAAGTCCTTCAGCGCTCTGAATCGTCCCCCCGCTGGGAGTGAGGCCGCTGTCTGTTTTCGCTAATTGACTTCGTAGCCCCCTGCCACCGACTTGTGTCCTCTCTGCTTATTCTTTCTCTTCCTGGCCCATCAGATTTTCTTCTGTGAAAATAAACGTTGCCAGGAACTGCCGAGTAGTCTTAGGAATTTTACTGCAGACTCTGTGTTAGGAAGCAAAACCAGTGAAACATGTATATCTATAAAGAGACGGGTACATCAAGGAAACGGCTCACCATTGTAGAGTCCCAGGTCCCCAGTGGAAGAGAGCAAGCCATTCCCACCTGTCCATTAGATTGGGAGCAGGCCACACTCCCAGGGAAGCATCCCTTCAATTGATTGGCTGCTCATAGCCGTTCGTCACACAGTTAACTCTGCCTGTATTAGGTTTCATCATTATGGGAATAAGCACATTTTAGCTACGAAAGCCCTGGGAATCCAGGCCTAGTCAAGTTGACACGGAATCCTAACTATTAACAGACTCCAGCGACTGGGCTTCAGCTGTGCGCAAGTCAGGTTCTCTTGTGATGACGCCACTCATAATAACACATTGGTCTCATCCTTCCCTTTGTTTTGGAAGCTTGCTCTGTCATTATAACGTTCTGTAAGTGACGACCCAGACAAGTGTGTCTTCCTCACTCTTCGCTGTCATCCGCTTGCCTGCCCGCTCTTATTCACAAGAACCTGGGCTTTGCCATATCGCAGAGCCTAAGAGCACCAGTGAACCTGCATTCTTTCTAGGAATGGCCCTGAGGTCAGAACACCTGAGTTGGAGCCTGACCTTTGACCCTGATAGTGACTTCTGACACCTCCCTCCCTCCACCTTCCTGTGAGCCTCAGGGCACAGAGCTCTACCACAGAAAGTGGTTTGTCCCTTCATGGACACCAGCCAGTCTGTGTACACTTAGGAAACGAATCACTTGGATCCTAACCCGGTGTTAAGGATCATTTGGTTTTACATTTTTAAAAATCACTAGCTTTGCTGTTTTTCAGGTTGTGTTTTTCTCTGACTTTGGATTATCCAACCTGCTACTTAGGCGTCCTTGTGGTGCAGTGGGTTAGGTGTTGGGCTACAAACCAAAAGGTCAGCAGTTGGAAGTCACTGGCCATGCAGCGGGAGAAAGATGTGGCTGCTATTCTGTACAGATGATAGCCTTGGCTCGGCCCTAGAGGGTCCCTGAGTTGGAACTCACTCGATGGCAGTGAGTTTGGTTTTGCTTAACCTACGACTTAGCAAATGGGGTTTTTGTACCCTAGGGAACCTACCTGCTCAGTGTACTCTCGGGAGTTTATAGCAACAGTTCATGAGTTCTTTCTGTTTAGATGTTTGAACAGAATCTTCAAGTTGCCGCTCAGATAAGTGAAGATTTGAAAACAAAGGTACTGGTTTTGTGTCTTCAGCAAATGAATTCTTTCTTAAGTCGGTAAGTATTTTTGCAATTATGTTTTTTCTGAAAGTGCGTATTTTAGGAATTAGAAGTAAACAATTGTTGATCCTACTGTGCCTTTTTTAAAAATACCAGTCATCGTCATTATCGTGGGGACTGTGTATTGGTGATTAGAAACACTAAGATGAAATCAGGCGTGTTCTCATCGTGCCTGGGAATGTGCCCCAACACTCCCTTTGAGGCCCCAGGGCTGATGTGCTAGGAAGGCAAGCCACTTAGCTGGTATCACTGGTGACGGGAGTTGTTGTTGTTAAGTGCCACGGAGTAGGTTCTGACTCAGTGACCACCCTGTATGCGGTGTCCGAGGCTGTCAGTCTTTGTGGGAGCAGGAAGCTTCATCTTGCTCACATGGAGTAGCTGGTGGGCTTGAACCACTGACCTTGTGGTTTGCAGTCCAGTGCCTGTCCTACATAGCCACTGCGCTCGGGTGTTCTTTTTGTTTGTTGCACTTCCTTAGGTTGGTTTGTCCCTTTGAAAGCGCTAAATATTACAAATTAGTGTGCTTATTGTGAGACCTTGTTTATTTATGAAACCTATTAATGCCATTTGTCAAAAGAGTCTATTTCACCGGCTCTGAATCTGCAAGTCTTATCTCAGCTGTTTGAGAAGTGACCTAGTGCTGTGACCTCCTCAGAGTCACAGTGCTGTCCTTTCAGAGCGTGTCAGTGTGGTGGGCTCTGTCTCTCAGATACAAGGAGGAAGCCCAGCTGTATAAAGAAGAACACCTCAGGAACCGGCAGCACCCACACTGCTATGTCCAGTACATGATTGCCATTGTCAACAACTGCCAGACCTTTAAGTGAGTGAGTGAGGTGGAGGTCACGACTGAGGAGCAGAAGGACGGGGTGCATGTGGACCCAACAGCTTCCCTGAAGCACAACTGCTTTCTTACAGAGAGTCTATAGTTAGCTTAAAAAGGAAGTATTTAAAAAGTGACGTGGAAGAGGGCATGTCTGTGAGCCAGCCCAGCATGGATGCCGTCCTGGATGCCATTGCCAAGGAAGGCTGCAGCAGCCTGCTGGAGGAGGTCTTCCTGGACCTGGAGGTGGGCTGTCTGGGTCTGGAGGTGGGCTGCCTGGGTCTGGAGGAGGGCCGTCTGGGTCTGGAGGTGGGCTGCCTGGGTCTGGAGGTGGGCTGCCTGGGTCTGGAGGAGGGCTGTCTGGGTCTGGAGGAGGTCTTCCTGGACCTGGAGGTGGGCTGCCTGGGTCTGGAGGTGGGCCGTCTGGGTCTGGAGGAGGGCCGTCTGTGTCTGGAGGAGGGCCGTCTGGGTCTGGAGGAGGACCGTCTGGTCTGGAGGGGGGCTGTCTGGTCTGGAGGAGGGCTGTGTGGTCTGGAGGAGGGCTGTCTGGTCTGGAGGAGGGCCGTCTGGGTCTGGAGGTGGGCCGTCTGGGTCTGGAGG